AAAAACCCCCCCCCCCCCCCCCCCCCCGTAGACTGGTGTGAGGAGTGTGGGAAAGGGTGCAAATCTTCCAAACATTTGGAATGTACATAATTGAAAATACTTCAGCAAGGAAGATAGGAGAAAAATTTGAGTTGCTTCATGGGCCTTGAGGACAGGTTTGAAGATGGCAGTAAGTGGCAGCTAGTGTAGAAAAAGGGGATATAGCTACAGGCATGAAACTTTTGACAGGCCATGTAGGAGAGCAGTGAAGGACATGAAGTAATTCTGCATGGAATTTAGATCTGAGAACTTGCATATGCATAAAAACGATACCTGAATTACTTTTATTTTGAGTAAATACCTTTCCTCTTAGAAACAAACGCACCCAAAAAAAAAAAAAAAAACCAAAACAAAACCCCAAACGCCCCAATGCCCTAAGCATCTGAATAAAGAGAACATAAAACTCTAGATGAGATGTTGAACTAAATTCCAGCTCTCTTAACACAGTCATGGATTAAGTGTGTCTAGAACCCAACAGAAAAATAAGAATTTCCCATTCACTGTTGTCTTTGCAGGAGAGGTAACATAGGGAGGCCTTCTGGCATGCTCTCAAACACTGGTAATATTAAAATTTGACACCAAATGAATTGAGTGATTACATTTAAGCTTCCATAATGTGGTTTAAGGTAGGTCAGTATTATGTGGATTGTTTTTCAGCTGAAATCTCTCAGGATCTTTGTCATCCCTGGGTTGGCTCTTATAAATTGGGTCATTTATTGAGGTGGTTACAATGTTGCTATGCATCAGGATTCTGAAACCAAGTGATGCAGTGTTTCTAGTTCCATGCTGTGGTAGAGACATTCTGAATTGTCAACTAGCTCATTGTTTTAGAAATCCATAGACAGTGTAAAGTAGGACTTCTCAAAGGGGATACTTTGCAGTGCCCTAAAATTATCAAAGGGGCGGTAGTGAAGTTTATTTTCACTTAAGCTGTTTTAGGCTTTCAGAACTTCAGGTTGATTATAGCCCTGTAGCAGCCTTGTTGGCTGTTGATGATCATCTTGGTCATAAAGAAAAGCAGAGATTTAGCTTCTGCTAACTACTAGGTAGAGCAGCTGTCAGAGCGTCTCATAGATTCACTCGTTCCACATGAACAGGATGGGGAAAGAAACGTTGGATGCACATATCCATTCTGAAGGAGTTTTCTTGTAGAATCTCTCCTACTTTGAAACTGAGAGAGAGATGAAACGTCCTGGTCTGAAAGAAGGTTCCTTTTCCATCAGATGTCTTTTATTGCAACAGTCTAGTGTTTACAGGGTAGCACTTCACTCGAACGTTATGTTCTGACCCACGTTGAAGACGCTTGCAGACACTGTCTTTAGTTCAAAGTTTGATAGCTGGCAATAAATGTTGAAGACTGTTGGTTGTTTGTCCAGAAAACCTGATGTTTTGCTGTGCTAGTGTCCTTTTCTGTGTGCTTGTTCTAAGCCTACTTGAAAAAAGCTTGCTTTATTAGCTATCTTTTTCTAGAAGGAAGGGTATTCTCTTTTATGGGTGTAGTGGTTTTCACCTGTCCGTCACATTAGGATTTTCTTCCTCTGTTTAGAGGAACATAAACTTACTAAGATAAGATGATTTTTTAAAGGGTAGGGGGATTGATTGTCTCAGGGTTAAAAATGAATTGCAAAGATAATGAGTAAAAAGTACTGGCTGTTCTAGGGAGATGATTCTTGCTGTAGTTACCAGGGATTTCATACCCCACTATCCAGCTTGTCAGTACCTCAGAATATGAAATATTAGACTCCTGTGAACATACTACGTGTCTGTAGCAAGAGCTCACCTTAGAAGCATGAACCCTGGAGGCTGTTGGCAATATGGAGTTTTCTGTTTTCTAAGGCTACTTACGTACTCTGTACAGTTTTGACCATCTATCAGAACCGTCTCCTGAAGTAGCATTCATTGGCAATCAGGCTATGCAGGCAAACTGAACTATTAACATAATGCAATTACCAAAGACCAGAATACTAAGAGTTTATAATTTTAATTACATTTCATCTGCGGTGCAGGCAAAGCGCTATTATTAGCCAAAATGTCTCACATAGCTTGTTGAAGAAATGCTGTAAGTATTGTTTGTGGTATCAAAACGGACCCTTAATACACCAGAGAAGAAGACAAGAAGGTCTCAGATATTTGGAATTACAAGTTACAGGTTTCTGGAGACTCTGAAGTACCATGAAGTTGCCGATACTTGCAGAAACATATCCAGTTACTCATTCTGCTACTCTAAAATTCTGCATTTCTTGACTCTCAAACTCTTTAAACTGTGCTTTAAAGAGAATACATTTAATCAATATATGTTTAAGATCAGAAAACGATACATTAAATTGTAATTGACAATATTCTAATAGTGTTTTGGAAAAAAAAATCCTTGAACCAGAGAATATAAATTGACACTTGTTGAAAGGTGAAATGGGCACTTCAACTTCTGCAGATTGCAGTAAGTGTAAAACAGCTGGGTTTGGTTGGTTTTTTTTTTGTACTGTCAGTTTTAGTGGCTGTTTTTGGTGTGTTTGTTTTTTTGTTTTTGTTTCCAGAATGTCTTTTTGGGTGTCCTCATTAAATCCAGACCTGAGCTGGTCATGTCAGTATAGTGGGGGGGAGAAAAGCTCATCTCTTGTACTTGTTCATCACATGCTCTACCTGTGATACAGTGCAGATAATGTTTTGTTGGTGGCTTTATAGACAATTATTGGGAAGGACTTAATGGTTAAAAAAACAAACAAACAAACAAACAAAAAAAAAAAGAAACCACCCACAGTGAACAAAAAAAAAATGCAGTATCTAATACAGTTATTCTTAAATTAAGAATTTTCAAAATGAGTCTAAACATAAATAGCTCATGTTTGACTATTCAAGTGTAGTCAGTCTCTATGTCACTGTGTAGAGATGTCTCGGTAAGTAATTGAAAGCAGTTAGACACAGCTGAAGTAAAGGCTTGATTATCTTCTGTACAGTACAAGTGGCATCTTAAACTCCATAAAAGAAATGTAAAATAATTGACATCTTAATTTCTTTCAGTGGATCACTTAACTAATTCCAGTCACTTGTGTAAGTTTGGGCATATAATTCAAAGGTCATTGTTTCCAGACTTGTTTGACTCCACCTGAATTCTACTACTTGTAGAAAATGCCACATACTATAATAAATACCAAACAAAAATGAAATCTGATAAATATAGTGCTTGCTTCCTAACACTTTTGAGCCACTGGAGGTCATGATCCTGTAGTTGCTGTAGGTTGAAAACTCTAGTCTGATGGAATTACCTGTGCCATTTCCAAGCCTCATTCTGTGTTTTCTGACTGCAAACATATAGTCATGTATTCTGTCCTCTAAAGGCAATTTTTCTTGAGAATTTGCAACCAAGACGAATTGTAAGAGTGTTGTGAGTCTTAACCCTCAATGTAATTTCATTATTCTCTTCAAAATATTTTGATGGTCTGGAAAATACACTTCTGTCTTAAACATTATTTGAGAATATTTTCAGCATTGTTAGAGCAAATGTGCAGGTTTTTTTCCCTTTTGAGAATTAAATGTTCTTAACATAGCATTCTTGTGTACACAGCAAGAAGAGCAGACTGATACTTGTTTGGAATATGGCATGCTAGTCTAATAAAGTTATAAAGTCCAAAATGTGATTATAAACTGTTTTAAATAAAACACCAAAATGTCAGTAATTAAAACTAACTTTTTTATGGTCTTTGTACAAAATAAATACTACTGTGTCACTTGTCCGAAACCAGGATTTCAAACAGGGCTTTGGGTCATATTGCAGCAGTCGTTAGCTAATGATGTCAGCTTAAGTACTTTGATACAAAGACTTGATGTGCACATAAAGAATGATGCAGAGAATCTGAAAACATCTTGAAGGAATTTCCATTTGGTAATGACTGAATGTGAATGATACCTACTACCAATTGTTGTTGGATTCATAACCAATTATTGTAGGGTTTGGCTTGTCTGTGTTTGGGAGGATGCAGTTAGAACTGTAAAAGGCTTTTGTTATGTCTGTATATCTATTAAATATTTTTGATTTATTTAAAAAAAAGTTAGTTGGTGCCTATTGCTGACAGCTGTTGAAAGCTGAGAAAAATGGAAGTTTTAATACTTTGTAACCAGAGTGTCTTTAGTTTCAGGCAGACTGGTAACTATGAACTAATCTTTATGAGCTGAAATGTAATACAATTGTTCCTACTTCCAAAACAAACACATCTGAAAATTAACTCTTCATCTCTCTTGCTGGTATGTTGCTCTTCTTTTTACACTGCTTGTCTCAAAGAACTCTTCCTCTTAAATAGGTGTTCTTCTTTTAACTAGGGCACATGAGTCAGATGTTCTGAATTTGAGGTGCCTTCTTTTCATCTAGGCTTATAACTCTGCAACTTGTTGATCAGAGAGTAAAAGTGCTGTGAAAGAGGAAATTCCTTACTTTTCAGAATAACTTGCATATCTCCGCGCTTGCAGAAAGACACTTCAGCCAGCTATTTGCAGTCCTCATTGTTAGGTTTGCGCAGACACGTATTGCTAGGCTGTGTGCACAGTTTTATTTTCATTTAGATTGTCCTTGTGGAACAAGACCTTAAAAGGGAAAGTCTCAAGGCTAAGGAACTAAAGCTAAAGATCATGTTTTAGTCACAAAAAAGACTTAATGTTGAAAGACTTGAAATGTTCTTTGGCTCTGCCTTGCAGTTAGCTAAACGTAGTTGTTAAATTTTTGTATGGGAACAGAACTCACTAGGTGGCGATATAGTATAGATATAAATGGCACTATTAAAACACAAACTAAGTGTACTTAAGTAGGTTAGTAATAATTTGGTCACTTCCAGCTTAGGGACATCACAGTTAAATCATGTGGCTGTCAGGTTTTTGTTTCCTCCTCTATAACTTGTATATTAGTCCAACAAGGCTCTTGTTAGAGAGCTGCAAAAAGTTTAATTCCTGAATAGTTGTTTATTTCATTATTAAAAAAAGAAAATAAATAATGCTTTGCTTAGAGGCACCTTCATGTTTTGAGGTTGTGTATTGTTGCATTAAATAATGGCAGAGTGGTTGTGTTTAATTTAACTCAGGATTGTAAGAGTGTCACTTCTCCACACATGACAAAATAAAATTATATATAATGTACTAATATTTCAGAGATCCTAGAGCAGCTGATGAAATTGTTTTTAAAAACTGCTTTGCAAATTTTCATAACTTCTAAGTCCTTTTTTAACTGCTTGTTAAATTCTTAAGATTGTGTGTTTGTGTTCTGGGGTAGGTGTGTGATTTTGTGTCTTGTTTTTTTACATTGTTCTTGCCTGAGTATAGTTCTCCAAAGTACACTGTGCTCCATTGAAGAAAAAAAAAAATATTTTTGTGACTTTGAGTTTGTGAAAGGCCATCAAATTGATTCTCAAAGACTAGAGAAAGGGGCTAGAACGCCCAGCGAGCGTGTGCCCGGGCTGTGGGTGGGTCTGAAGGCACAGGCTTCTCAGGCGCAGACCCTCCAGCGAGCTGCTATTGTGAGAGGGCGTGGGGAGGAAGGTTGTAATTAGGTATCCATGTAGGCTGAACCCGCCATTTTACTAAGCTCTGCTGGAGTAGGCCCTTGTAAGGGAGATGGCAGGAGGCTGGGAGAGCATGAAATGGCAGCCGACTAGCAGTAATCCGGCCATATGCACCCTACAGGAAGCCACTGTTCTGCACAGCTTTTGAATCCGCCCGTCCCCTCTGGGTCAGAGGCGGCTGTAGGCAAGGCGCAGATTTCAGGAAAACCTGGTTTGGCTTTCCGTTTACCTTTCTGGTGGGTAGAAGACGAAAAGTGTGGGGAGAGTGAGCACGTTAGGGGCTCACACCAAGCTCCTTTCGGAAAGGATCACGTGTCGCGTTACACCCCGGTGCCGTCCTGCAGCCCTGCCGGCAGATGGGCCGGGGGACAGAGACGAGCTGTTCGCCACAGTGGGGCACTAGTAACCAGTTTGAATGAAACAAGTTCAGGGCTTGTTTTTCTGATGGAAAATAACGTCTTTTGTACATAGCCTTCCATAGTTACCACTAGGTTGCAGGTTTCACATCCCCGTTCCTCGTCTCTCCTGCAGGCAATGGAGCATGCAAATGGTATGGAGCTGGATGGCAGGAGGATTCGGGTGGATTACTCAATCACCAAGAGAGCACATACACCCACCCCAGGCATCTACATGGGCAGGCCAACACAGTAAGGATTTCACCCATTTCCTGTAATGGAGCTAAAATGGATTTAAACTGAATGCTTGGAGTCTGGTCAAAGATGTAGAGCTACAGATACTTCTTTTTTTTTTAAATTTAAGAGTTATGCCAATTCTGTTTATCACAAAGTTATTAATACAAATAATATTTTTCTAGTTCATGTATACTATTAAATCCTACTGTAGTTTGTCTGTTTATAAAAAAAAAAATAGTGAAGGAATTACTAAAAAAAAAATATTTATCTAACACATTAAGTTAATGCACCCTTACCTTACTGAAACAATAAGGTGCCCATTTGCCTTCCATTTTGCTAGGAATTAGACTTAAATCCCTGGTGGGTTTTCTGTGGGTTTTTTGAATGTGTTTTTCTTTAAATGTTTCATGGTTAGATTGTTTCATGGCATAGTCTTAAGTGTCTGATTTACAGGAACACTTAAAAAAAGCTTTTAAATAATTTAAGTCAAGATAAAGAGTAGATATCTAAAGTAATTTTTTTGCTTTTTCCCTAATAGCAGTGGAGGAGGTGGCGGTGGTGGAGCAGGTCGACGCCGTGACTCGTATTATGATCGAGGGTATGACAGAGGGTATGACAGATATGAAGAGTACGACTACAGATACAGGTACTTAATTGTTACTTTATTTCTGTAGGAGCGATGGATTTCTTTGAAAAGCTGAAAAGTTAAGTAGCAAAACATTACTGATTTGTAGCAAGATTCTGCATATGTGCTTGTTCTGTGAGCCTCATTATGTTAGATTTAGTGGGATTAAAGTGGTGGTAATCCTCAGTGTGTATGTAATTTGGTTATACAGTAAACAGTTGGGCAGGGGGTTCGTTTTGCTACCTGAAGGAGGTAGGGCGTGTGCCCTGTGAACCTACTGGACAGACAGAAAAGTAGCTCATTTTTCCATGCTTTATATAGAACCAGGAACAGCTGATACACATTGCTGTTTAAAAAGGGATTATTTGTAGATGGGATTTTTAATGCTTGACACTTCATAACCATCTCACTGATTTGAAAGTTATCTAGTTTCAGAGAATGTTGTTCCATAAGAATTGTAGGCATCTGGAAAGGCACTTCAGGAGTTTGCAAGGCTAGTGAAAGTTGATTAAATTCTTTGCCTGGGAATATTTTACAGTTTTAAACACATCAGCTAGAGATATGTAAAAGCATTTGTTAAATAACTGTAAGCCGTGGCCAAATAAAGCTGAAATGATTCATGCAGGCCAAGTCTTTCAGTGCTAAGGAAATGGTTCTGTTCTGCAGAAGTGATGTGAATAAGGCTTCTTTCATAATGGATGATGTTGGGTTTCTTTTTTAATTCCCTTTAAAGGAGACGATCGCCATCACCTTATTATAGTCGATACCGATCGCGATCAAGATCCCGTTCGTACAGTCCAAGTAAGTCAACACAAGTGAATAAATAATCTGCCTGGGTTAAACCTTGTTGTTACTAGTATTAAATGATCAATGGAAGCTCTTAATTTGAAAGCATAAAAGCTGCGCACATTAAAGCTGAGATGATGTATGTATAGTTTGTTATAAATTGTGTCGTGTTTTTTTTTTTTTTTTTCAGGGCGCTACTGAAGAGCAGAAGAGTTATAGTAGAGGACATGATTTTTAAATACAAGGTTCAGATCTTAGCTTCCCTAGTGCTCTCGTTCTCATCCTCCCTTCCTTGTCCTCCATCCATCTCTTTTACAAATCTTTGGTTCATTTAGAATATACATATTTTCAGTTGAAGTATTCCTGTTTTCCATCCCTCCTTATTGTAATACTCTTAAATATTGTAATTGTTGTAGTTTTTGTGTAGTAAAACATCTTAAGCAGGATAAAATAGAGACCCCAAAGTGCTGATACTCTTTGGAAGTCATTCCTATTTTGTTTTTAAAACAGTTGGACTCCTGACTAATCAGAAGAGAGCATTGATATTTTTAAAGCTTGCATGTCATATGTAGTATACACACTCAGATACTTTAATATGAACCTGCATTTCCAAGTAACTCGTTAATCTTTCTGTTAAAATGTTTACCTATTACTTTGATAAACAAGTAACGACCTTGAGCCTTTTCTGTAATGACAGATTTACTTGGTCATGAACCAGAGATTTTTTTTTGTCAGGTAGTTCCTTTGAGAGTAGACTGTTTGTGCTAGAGCAAATTTTGGTATTTGACTGGGAGAACAGATCCTTGTACACTCAAAATCAAGGCTGTCTTTTATAGATAAAGTTTCTGGATTGCGACACAGTGGATAACATTTGAAGTTAAAACTAAAAATCCTGGAGCTTTTATTGTACTCGGTTGAGTATTTCCCCTTAATCGGCACAGGAGAAAAAATACTTCTTGAGCACAGCAATTAGTTATATAATTTGCTGTTCATTTAAAAAAAAAAAAAAAATCACCAACTTTTTGGTATTGCAATAATGGTTAAACAAGTTTTGTTTCCAGTCCTTTTTGGAGTTTCAAAAGTATGGATGGAAAAAACCTACAACTACATGTGAACCTGTTTTCCCCTTCAATAAAAGTGAATTCCACTGAGATGTGATTCCTTGTCTTTTGTTCTGCATTTTGTGTCACACTGGAATATACATGAAACGAAACGAAACTCAGTCTTGCTTGTATGGATAACGAAGTCAACATTTTTCTTTCTTCTGAGGAGCCTTGTCTTCCCTGAGAGTCTGCGTGTGGGGATACAGGGTGGTGCGGCAGAGCGGGTAGCCCAGCCTTCTCTTGAGATGTCTTTGGCACTTGCTGGAGTCCTGGTGGGATGGTTTCAGGAGAGAAACACTTTGGCTTTTAGATTTCCAGCAAGTTTTGCACTCTGAAATAACTCACCAAGTGCCTGGTTGAATGTTGCTCTTGGCACAGCAAAAGGAATAGGACTACAAAGCCCTCACATAAAAATTAATTTTGTCCTGATTGTCAGGGAGTGCCACCAAAAGAGTTTGTCAGAATTTTAAGAGTCCAAGCATATGAAACGTAACTCTGTTAACTGTTTCTGAATGTTAGTGCTCAGAAGTATTAATGAGTACTTAAAAATACACATCCAGCTATTTTAAAAGCCTGATAAAATACACTAGGAGAAATTGGTGACAAGTTCTAACTTAGTGGTTATTCTCAATACTTTTTACTCATTATGTTTTACCCATAAATTGTGATGGAAAGCTCTTGCAAAAGTTAAATAACCTTCTAACTCTGATTTTACTGGTATTTATTGTTGATCAGACAAATTAGGAAATATTAAGAATTTATTCTGTGTTAAAAAAAAAAAAGTGCCAGCCTCAACATGGAGAACTGTTGGTATTTTTCATTTTTTGTTCTTTCAGAGTCACAGAGTAGTAGAGGTTGGAAGGGACCTCTGGAGATAATCTAGTCCAGCCCCCCTGCCAGAGCAGGTTAGCCTAGATGAGGTTGCACAGGAATGCATCCAGGTGGGTTTTGAAAGTCTCCAGAGAAAGGAGGAGACTCCCCAACCTCTATGGGCAGCCTGATCCAGTGCTCCCTCACAGTAAAGTTTTTCTGTGTGTTCAGATGAAGTTCCTGTGTTCCAGCTTGGGCCCATTGCCTCTTGACCTGTTGCTGGGCACCACTGAAAAGTGGCTGGTCCCTTTCTCTTGACACCTGCTGTTTAGATTTTTCTAAACATTGATGATATCGTCTTAATTTCAAAATGAAGGAGAGTAGTGTACTGAAATAGTGAGTCAGCTGGAGGCAAGGGCTTGGGAAATAGCTGCAGGGCTGGTTGGGGGAGGTGTTTGGGCTCGTGGAATTGCGATAATAGAAAGCATGTGAGAGGTGGCTACTTCTTGCCAGGTGATGGTATTTGTGGCCTGTAATTGTCAAGGGTTGAGAAGTGTTAGTCAGCTAGGGAGCAGTTCAGCCAATCTTGCCAGGAAGCTAAAGCTAGAAAGGAATGTCTCAATCCTTGGCTTGGAGCTTGTTTCTTCCAACAGTTAGACCTAAGGGTCCTATTTGTCAGGCGTCCATCTAAAGTTATGAGTGGCAACAGTGTTTTATTTCATGGTGCAATTTGTGCTTCATGATGACTGACACGCTACAGTCCATGTGAAGACCGGAGAAAAGTGGCAGTTCTTGCTGTCAGCTGTACCTGTATGTGTATGTAATGTAGGAATAATTGTTATACTTAAATGACCATTTCTAAAACTCAGATCTTGAAATGAGAAAGATAATTTGTAGCTGTTTCCTCATTTGTGTAAGGTTAATAACAGTTATTTTGACTGAGATCAGTTGGGCAGAGATCTTGGTGTTAGCAGGTTTTTTTTTTTAACTTCTGTGGCTTGTGTGCTCAAGGATGGGAGCCTTGTCTCTGCTTCGTTGTGAATGTGTTCAGGAACACTGCTTATATAAGGTCCCAGTTCTATTTATGATCCAAAATAGCCTGTCCCCCTCAACACAGCTGGTTAAACAGGTACATACTTTCTTTGGTAATTTTGATGTTTTCTTTAGTTCTAGATAAGGAGTGATAGAACTCTGATCATATACTTAAGTTTTGCAACACGCTAAAAGTAAGTCAACCAAAGTAACAAACTGATGTTAGTTTGTGCTAGTGGACAGGAAGCTGAAAATCGGTTAAGTTGCAAGGAATATTTAGATACTGACAAATATTTCAGTAGATAAATGTGACAGTTCATCTAGGTTTTTGTATAGCCTCAATTCTAGGCTTAGGATATAGAATTGCAAGATAATACTTGCTCTTAAACATACTGTGTTCCCAAATGCCTCAAAAAAGCAGCCACGAGAAGTTCACAACAGCTGCTACACAGGCTAGCCCCAGACACTGTGTAATGGAAAATGTGCACCTGGTGACAGCAGTTGGAGACCTCCTGTTTTACATGTTGGGTTAAAATAATTTTGGAGGGGGGGAAGGTGCATGCATAAAGGTGATAGGCATAAAAGTTTATGAAAGCCATTTTGTCATTTGTCGTATGTAACTATACTTCAAATCCGTAAGTGACATTAAGCCTTCAGTACTTGCCAAAGCGCTTGACTGTGTTGCTGCATGAGATGAAAGAGGTGTGACCCACTCAGGTGAAGAATGGATTTTGGAAAAGTAACTTCTGGTTGAATGGCTCCACAAAGGAAGAACAGTGAAGTGTACTTACACCACCACTGCCTGTTACTGTCAGTCTGCTCTGTTTAGCTGCTGCAGTCCTCTAGAACTAACATGAATTCTGTGGACCAGAGAAGGGAAATGGTCAGAGAGGAGCATTTTCTGTTGCTTCCTACAAAAGCAACATCCTGTGGTTGGGCAAGTGATGCAAACAGATTTTCCTCCAGCACCCAGTCAACACCTTTGTGTATTGAACAGGAGTGCAGAGGTGAACATGAGATGCAGACTCCATTCACACCATCTGCAGTACCTGTAGACATAATTTCTCGCCTTACTTGCATTTTATGTCTATATGAAGTATTCCAGGTAGGACAGCCTTTGTCTGCTGATGGGTAAGGACTGTTAGGTTCAGCCTAATGTTTTTCGGTATTTCATACAGAGCTGTAAATACAACACTTTGATCAAGTTAAGGTAAAAAAAAAAAAAAAAAAGTATAGGTCAACAGTGTGTCCAGGCAGCACAAGAAATACCATCATCAGTTTGGGTTAGACTTGTTACTAAACTGCAATAAATAAGCCTTAACACTTTTCCTTCAAGTGTTTTAGATATACAAGATGAAACTTTGGTGTGTTTTGTGGTTTGGGTTTTTTTATTTGTTTGTTTTTGTTTGCTTGGGGTTTGTTTGTTTTTTGGTTTGGTTTGTTTGTTTTTTTGTTCTTTTTTAACCAAACAAACTGGCAGATAACTATTGGCCTAGAAAAAGCTATGGGCCACTGCAGTGGGTCTGTTGTTGAATTTCATCACCAAGTGAGAGACCACCTTACACAGAACAATTTCTTAACCTTTGTGGTGGCAACTGTGGGTTACACCTTTGGTATGTAATAACATACAATTGCTATTGTACCAATACAATTTGGTAGGTAATAGTGGATGTCTTTCAAATTCAAGCTAACTAGATTTGTTTGGTTAAACATTGAAGATATTTGAGATCTACAAACCTTTCTTTCAACCAGCTATTGAACAAGTGGCAATGGTGGAAATAAGTTTCCCCCTGTGAAAAAAGCTAGCACTGCTTCCTGTGCACGATTTCTTTTTAAGCTTAAAAAGCAGTTGGTTAGGACAAGGATGTGCATTCTCTACACAACATCTCAAATTCACTAATTTGCAGTCTACCAAAACTTCACAAGATTAATTTTCTCATGCCAACCCAGTCCCACAGTGCATGGAAAGCAGCATCAGCAGTAAGCAGCACAGGGACAAGATAACCCTCCAAGATGCTTCAGTGTCTTTCAGGATTTACCCCAAAGGGAGATAATGACAGAGAACTTCTCAGCTGCATACAGCTGTACCAGAAGAGTTTGCATAGGTCTATATTTGCTTTAAATTTAAAAGTAAATACATAAAAATAATAATTAAAAAAAAAAAAACCAAACACAAAAAAACACCAAACTAACCCATGTCTAAACCCATTGGGGTAGAATATGGATAAGTGCTATGTAGAGACCATTCTTGCAAATCTCTAGATGGATGAACCATGGGCTGTTTGGACCCCTCTTTTTCACAGCTCCATTTTTGTTCCTATTCTCAGCATGATAAGAACAAGCCAATCTTACTCATCTGATTTGTGGAGCCAAGGTTATGACAGTGATGTTTATTTGCAGTACTTCTTCAATAACTGTAAGCTGGCCACTTCTGTCTCATGGTAGAAACATTCTAAACTCATGGAGGTAGAGAGAACCTGAAGGATGGCTCAAGGTAACTGTTGTTTATACCCTATATGATGTTAGGCTTTGATAACTTGCATAGAGAGCAAATTAGCAATTTGGTAATTGCTATCTTTTACGAGTTCTGTGGAAGCAGATGCCTAGCTCTCGTAGCAGTGCAGGAAAGAAGAACCAGAGACTGTTGATTACTAAATCACTGTTGATGGTACGTGATTCCACTAAAGTGGCAGCGCAGGTCTTTAGAAGTATTGCGTAGTATCTAATCTCACAACACACACAAAAGATGTCTTCATCAGGGAACATTCAACTGGTGGCTTTCACATGCCATGCTGGGATATTTTTGGCATGATCTGGACTGTGGCAGGATGTCAACAGCATGGAGGGCTTTGTCAGCAGCTGCTGTCTCCTGCCCGTCAGCTTTCACGGTCTGATGTGCTTTCCTCATGTTCCTGCTTCTCTTCTGCTCCTTGGTCTAGAAGTCAGTTTTTCCCTTTCTCCAGGCTACTGGATCCAGTGCAGCATTGAGCAGAGAGGAGCAGCATCTAGGGAGCAAAAAGGTGATCCATTTGACACTGAAAAATCCCAGAAGCCAAATCCCATGGTTACAGCTGAATTCCTGAGGATCCTTTCTTCTATAAGGAGATTGCAATTTGAATTTCTATGTTGTAGCTTTAGTAGTATTGTGTATAAGTGCTTAGAAGCTAGTCTCTTAAAAATGGGGGGGAAAAGCCAACAACAAA